TACATTGTGCCTTTCATTTTTAAAGGTACGTTGTGCCCTTAAAATTCAGAGGCACAAACGATCCAAATGTGCCTCTGAAATCAGAGGTACATTGTACCTTTCATTTTTAAAGGTACGTTGTGCCCTTAAAATTCAGAGGCACAAATGATTCAAATGTGCCTCTGAAATCAGAGGTACAGTTTTTAGAGTGTACTTACCCTTGATCACGTTGAAGCAGTGTGCACGCAGTTGAGCACATCACTTGACCATTGCGTCATCTAACGAAACTTAACGATTCATCGGTGCTTGCGCACTAGGGTGACTAATTTTTTGTCCGGTGAAGTCTCTTAATAATTGCATTAGTTGTCCAATGCGATTATGGGTTCCGAAATAAGAAATTTAATTTCAGCTAAAGTTAAGAGATAGATTCTCACGAAATATGACAATTCACAGTCTCTTGCTCTAAGGTATAATACTATACTACTAAGAGAACTTTTTTTTAAAAAAACATTTATAAATAGCATTTGCTGTTAGCATTTTAAAATGACTTTGCACTAGCATTGGCTGTTTTGTATAGTTAAAAAATTTAATTGAATATCAAAATGTCATTTTCCTGATATGTCACAAACAATATTTGCAATAACAACTAGCTTCAAAACTTCCCATACATATTTCAATATCTAATTTTTTTTATCTCAACCGTTGTAAGCATTTCTGGAGTATATGCAGAGGGTATTAATTCCAAAAACTTCGCTGAAAATAATTTTTTCCGTCGATAATTTGTTTGTCACATGAAAATAAGTCATTTTCCTGGCCACTTTTTTTAAGTAATTTATAAAGAAAATAGATAGCTCCAGCAATCAATATCTTAGGTTAAGAGATTGATTAGAATACCATCCTACCAGAACATGTCTAATTGCAGGAATAAGGAAGCAACTTTCTGAATCAAAATGCATTTCAAAAAATTTTACAAGGTGAGTAGGTTTTTATGTTGTCATTTTCCTGTCCTCTTGAAATCATTAATAACATAAACTATTTACATTTACTTCAGTTATTTAAAAAAATCCTGATGTTTTCTGCGAAAAGTAAACGTCTTAGGCCAAAATGTTAAATTAAAGTAATGTTAAATGCTGTAAAATGGTAAAATTGTCATTATTCTGCCTTATATATTCCAGGACATTAACACAGTTATAAGAGAAAATTTTAAACACTACAATGTATCGAGGGAAAGCAAATATTAACCTAATACCCAGTTTATGAAAGATTGTAATATGCTCGTATGTAATTAAAGTTATTTATTTACTTAATGATTGATTATTACACACAATCTTATTCTGTACAAATCAACAACAAAGATATTTTTGATTCTTTCTACAGTAGATAAAAGAATTAAATTTAAACAAATCATGATCCATCTAACGCAAAGGCGTTAGGTTATTTTTTTTCAAAACACAGATAGTTAAAAATATAAAGGATTAAGTAAGAACATCACTGTACAATTTAATTCTGCCATAGTCTTTAAACGCTGCTTGGGTGTATAAATTAAGGAATGTAATAAAGTTGTAAAATAAAATGATTTGAAATATTTTAAATTTAAATAATATAATAAAAAAATTTCCGATGTAAATTATTACAAAATTAGTTTTAATGTAAATTTTTACAAAATTAATTTTAATGAAAATTTTTATAAAATTAATTAAAAAATTCCTAAGATTATCACTTTTGTTGTAGGAAAAGTTTTTGAAGTCGTTCATAAAGATATTAAAGTTAAATTAATTATTCGTGCTGGCAAAGAGACTGCTAATCACTTTAAGTGACCCGGGAAAAAGGACTGTGTAAAAATTTCTTAGAACAACACAAATTCAAAATTTTCTGCTCCTTACCCAATATCTTCCAGGCATTTTGCTTCCTCTGAAAACTTCTAGATTAATGAAATTTTATAATTTTTTTTTTCTTCGTTTTAACTGTTTCTTTGCAAATTAAAGTGTAGTAAAATTAAAAACTATCTCATTGGGTGTGTTACTTTCTCACTTTCATTATACTTAACTAATTCGCTAAAATTGTTCACAATAATTATCTTTGGAATTTATTTACATAAAAAGTTAAAATTAACTTCCCAACTTTGTCTTTTTTGAGTTTCTTAAGTTGAGTTACATACTATTAGCTTAAAATGACTGTTTTCTTAACTTCTAAGCTGATATGTCACTTTCCTGGCCTTCTAGTCATTTTCCTGTCATTCAATTTCTATTTTTTTTTTCTTTTGAGCAAATGTCAATGAACTACACTGCTGTCTCTAAGATATTAATGAATGTAACTAAATAAATATACGAAAAAAAATTTATAATTTTTAAGACTTTAAATATGAAGAAATTTTATTTTTTCTTCCGAATTGTCATGTTTCCAAAGAATCACCCAGTTATACTTTAAACATTCTTTTCTTTTTCAGCTCATTATACATGTTTGTATTTAAAATATGTTAGAACACAAGTCGAAGAGTAAAATTAATATACCTTTTCTAGTAAATTTAAGTTTTTAATTTATTTTTAAGTTAAACTTTAAAATTTTTTGTTTATTCTATTTCATTGTGGGAGCATTTTAGGGGAAAGTCCCCATTATCTGCTTACATCCAATCATTCAATTTTTGCCTTTCGTTTATATTATTCAAGTGATTATTGCAATCATTTTATTTCCTTATTTTTCGGATCAGATACCTTTTGTAATAAAATGTACATTGAAATGGCCTGCCTCACAATTCCTTTCGGGTTCCATTCTCAATAACAGCCCATTGTAGAGATATCCTAACAAAACTATCTCAATTGTTCTACATTTATTGCAAACATAGATATTTATTTCAAGAAAATGATAACATTATCAGCCAAATTCAAACAATTATTTATAAAATTGTATTTTATTTCATTTCTTCTTTTTATTATTTATTTTTTTGTTTTGCATTTTTACTTATTTCTTTGTTTGGTATTTTTATTTATTTATTTATCTATTCATTACTTTATTTATTTATTTATCTATTCATTATTTTACTTATCTATTTATCTATTCATTATTTTATTTATTTATTATTTTTATTTATTTATTTATTTTATTGTTTATCTTTCATGAATAATAATTGTGCGTACTTACCTTGTCTACTGCTCATGGAACTGAAACATTAACGTATGAGTCAAAAGCAATTAAAATTGAGATTATATTTATTTTTATAATAAGCTGCACATTGAAACAAAAAAAAAATTTAAAAATCAATTTTCTTTAAATGCTTTCTGAAATAATATTTTGGCGTTAATAGAATAATCATGGGAAAGAATGAGTTGTCAGGCCACTTCTGTCTCAAAATGTATCATGAAGCACGTTAAAAATATAATTTAAAAGATCAAAAGTAATTCATTGGAGATTAATATTAATATAAAATTATTCTCGTGTTTTTTGGGGGTTTTATATATATATATTTAAAATTAGCTTTGGGTAAGTAATTGAATACTTATGAAATTATTTCTGGACAAATGATTTTTATAATTAAAAGCAAAAAAAATTTCAATTCCCTTAAAAAATTCTCGAGATGTAGAAANTTTTTATAATAAGCTACACACTGAAACAAAAAAAAAAATTTAAAAAATCAATTTTCTTTAAATGCTTTCTGAAATAATATTTTGGCGTTAGTAGAATAATCATGGGAAAGAAATGAGTTGTCAGGCCGCTTCTCTCTCGAAATGTATCATGAAGCACGTTAAAAATATAATTTAAAAGATCAAAAGTAATTCATTGGAGATTAATATTAATATAAAATTATTCTCGTGTGTTTTTTGGGTTTTTTTATATATATATTTAAAATTAGCTTTGGGTAAGTAATTGAATACTTATGAAATTATTTCTGGACAAATGATTTTTATAATTAAAAGCAACAAAAAAATTTAAATTACCTTAAAAAATTCTCAAGATGTAGCAAAATACTCAAAAGTGAAATTAGCATTAAGGGGTTCAAACTTTCAACCGCTTTTCTGACCATAATATTTTCCAGCTTCGCTTCATATTTTTAAAGTCATTAATCTAAGTCCATCAGGAATAAAAAGACATATTTTTTCAGAAAAAATAAATTTTTGTGTCTCACTTCCTAGAAAAAAAATTTCGTTTGCACTAAATAATCGCTATATTTGAGGTCACCCCTGTGAATCATTAAGTGTGAGTGAATGAAAAACTGATCATTGAGATCAAAATTTAATAAACTGATTCCGTGCTGTAAGCTGAAATCTCGAATATCTTGTACCTCATTAAATATTTGTAAAGAGTAAATAAATGTTTTCAAAATTTCACACAGATCTCAATTTCACTTGGTTTTTCAGATCTGTGTTTGTAATATACTACGTAAGAAAGAGAAAAATAAAGGCTATGTATATATACAAAAGAATTTTTTATTCACCATTCATAAAATAACAAATGTGATGCATCAGTTCAATGAAATATAAGACATTAAATGCAAATGTATAATTATCTGCAAAGTTTAAATAGTTCTACACACAAGGAATTAGAAAAGCAAAAATTTTCAAACAACATTTAGAAGAAATGAAATTAATCTAAAACAAAAATCTGATAAAGCATTTAAAATGAAAACTAAGTTATCAATATTAAAAACGTGATATGCTTTTGAAGTATTATTTTCTAAATTTCGTATCGTGATAAAATATTTGCATTCAATATTTTTTATAAAGCTACAAGTATCTTAGCTGAAAAAGAATGTTTTTAAATATAATAGTTATGAACAGTACAATACTAACTAAACAAACAATAATATTTCAAAACAAATAGTGAAATACAAGCAAAAATAAAATTAAAATAAGAAACTCATGACACAATTTAACATCAACTTGTTTATAGTTAAAATTATGGAATGTAGTACTCTAAAAGTGTCATTTTTGCTTAGTCATACTCTTACTTTAGTAGGCACAGACAACTTAACATTTTCCACAAGGTGTTTCGTAAAGACCTCTCTTAATATGCGTAATAAGAATCTATATCAAAAATGAAAATAAAATCACTTGGACACGTGAGTCACAAATAAAAGAATAAAAACGCAACTAAAAGAATAAAAATGCAATCATGGAAAAAAACATTTAAGTAGCAAAATCCAAATATAGTTAACATCAAAACAAATTAAATTAGAGGGTGAAACTTGAATGTGCTTTTAAAAATCTTCCTTCAACTCCTCTCTGTTTCTTTCCGAAATGTCTTGTTATTTATTGTTTATTGCATCTTCCTTCCTGTTCAGTGGGGTTTGTCAACTTTTGATTGAGTAGTTAGTTTTTCCTGGGTTAAATATTAATTTGCGCCACTCCATGTGTATACATTTTTGTTTACTCTTTTGATAAGAATTCTCAAAATACACACAAAGAGCTGCCTTTTCAGAACACCCAAAGTTAATAATTTTTAAAAGTGACGGTAAAAACGGCTTCGAAAATGAGTTATTTGTAACAAAACAGTGCTTTAGTAAACCTGTACTTTAGATTTGAAAATTAGTTTTTAGTGAAATAAGATATGCCAAAACGATTTTGAATCTTAAATAATTACAAACGATTAGTTTTGTGTCTGTTGAGCTTACTTTCCGTGCATAAAATGTAATTGCATTTACTTCTTAACAAGAGGACGACCCAATCTACTGTGTACTAAGCAACTTTTTTTTTTAAGTGAACATTATGTTAAATCAAGTCGCATGAATGCATCCATTTTGAAAAGGATTCTTCAAAAGTTCTTCGAACCTAAAGTTGAAAACACTTCAGTTGAAATAGTTGATGTTTATGAACATATAATCTAATGAGAGAAAAAAGTTGAATGAGTCTCTTTAGTATGTGTATTCTCTTTCGTCTTCCCTCATGATACAGAACAAACATCCAGAAAATATCAGACACAGAACCTACAGGGGAAAAGTATAACAGTAAAACTCCAGAAGAACAGCTTTAAAACACAAGAACTCACATTAAAACACTTGAAAACTACATTATACCTTAGAAGGAATAAGATTAGAACACAAAAATAATAACGCAAAATAAAAATTACATTCTAATTCAAAAAGGAAAGGTTGAAGTCACAGGGATGACTGAATCGAGAAACTATCCGCTAAGAATTTTACTACGGTAAATAGATCTTTCGCACTAAGGACTTCAATTAAAAATATCTATATAATATTTCTAATAAGAATATTTTTTGTAATTTTTAAATAAGAATAATAAGGTATGTTTTTGACGTATGAGACAATGATAATCAAAACAAAATTAATTAAACTATAATAATTAAAACTAGCTATTTAAAAAAAACTAATGTAAAAGTTAGCATAAAATAGTAGTTGTGCAAAACTAAAAAACATCAGAGCTGCTAATGAACTAACAAACACGAAAAAATTTATAAATTTTTTATAAATAGAGTCTATTTTAAATATATCCTTTCCACCACCCTGTTACAAATAGTAATTTATTTGAATAAACTATTTTCACTGAAAAAATATTTCCTTTTAATTTATTAATTTTATTATAAGTTTATAATATATTTTAAATATAATTTAATATATTTTAAATTGATTTAATATTATAGATATTTTAACGTTGTAATACTTCATTTATTGTAATTTTTTTAAGTTTTGATTTAGCAGCGTTGCAATTTTTGTTTCATTTATTTATTCGTTACTTTTATTTAATTATTTAATGATTTGAGCTGTGTGATTTTGCGTTTGGCATGTTGACTTCCATATTATCTGTAACATATTTTCTCCTTTAATATCGTTTTTTATATCCTTTTGGTAGGTAACCTATCCACTGAAACTTTTTTTTTTTTTTTTGCAAGAGCATTTTTTTTTTAGTCTTTTGATTGATGCTGGTTGAAATATTTTCATTTCTTTCGAAAACTTGGTTTTGAATGTAATATCGCTGCTTCAAAACTAAAACGACGCATCTGCAAGCATTACACGTTGGCAGATGTGTCGTTTTAGTTTTGAACCAGCGATATGTTTGTTAAATCATTTAAAACTTCGATTTTTTTTTCAAAAATATTTTGTCTGCGTTCTTTGTCGAATTCGTGTCAATTAGTTGTGATATTCTATTCATCTCTTCTTTAATATTTTGCACATCGTCGTCTGATGCCATTTCTTCTATCAAAATAAAATTATTCTCATCAAAATTTTGGTCGGAGAATACTGTTTCTTCTTGACCATGTTGGTCAGTATTGCTTTTAATTTACTCTTCTTAGTTTCTAAAGTTTAAGAAAAAATATTTTGTGGCACATTTTTCACCTAAAGCTATCGAAGCTAACTGGTGTTTAATATAGTAATTTTTTCGAATTACAAGAATTTAGTTGATTCGACAATATTAACTGATAATTTCTGGAACTGATATCTCATTAGCTAGCCTGTAGATAATTTACGATATTTGTAACATCAATCAATCACATAGAAAATTACTGCTGTAATTACCTATCACGCAAATTTATCCTTCTTAATAAATAAAATTAGATTTTTCATGTCTGCATTCAAGAAATTTTTTTCATGAAACTCTCTAGCTAAAATATTTCATACAAGGAAATTAAAAACAATAATTAACTATGTAGTGTTATATTACTAACAGATGCAAAATTCAATTAATTGGAACAATTTAGAGACTAATTTGATCTACAATTTTATTTGGAGGAGCTTATCATATTTATACTGGATTGATGGAAATTAATTAAAATAATTCTACTTTTTTTTCTTATTGAATATTCCGTTTCTATTTTACAATTAAATAAGAACTATTTTTATAAAGTTGCTCCATTATTCCTTTCAAATTATGCGTTAATTTTTAAAAAAAAGTACAGCGTCATTATTATAGTACTAAGAAAATCATAAAGTTGCCTTAGAATATTTTGTAAATCGATCACAGTTTCAAAGGAATATTCAGCAATAAAAAAATCTTACGATTAAAAAACAGTGATTTTTATAATTTTTAATAAATCTTCTGATACAATTCATGTTACAGATGTAAGAACGAACGCATTTTCTCTTACAAAACTAGTTTTAAAATAATTCAATAGTTTTTTAGTTTCGTCAATTTCAAAATAATTTACATATATGTATTGAATACCTGACTGTGTCTGTAACAAAACTGAGAAGAGCTTAACATTTCTTTGCATCAATAGCTTAGCTTTTTAATTGAAGTAGAAAATTGTTTTTTTTTCTTTTCCTTTTTTCAATTATTATTCATTAATAAGTAAGCTAATCTCTCGAAACATTTTTATTCTCCGAATTTAATTTATGAATTAATTATATTATATATCTTTGAAGACCCTAAATAAACTTTATTGTTATGTTTTATATAGTTATTTATAAGCCATGGTAAATGTACTATCGAATACAAAAAAAAAACGTCGATTTAAAACATACAACTGACAACAATAAATCAAAAATCATGACTCTTTTTGTTATTTTGAAGAGCAAGACTAAAAAAAAAAATGTTTCTCTTTTAAGAACCTCGCGGCGGTGAAGCTAAGAATCACCCCGACTCTTAGAAAGAAAGAAAAAAAAAATTGCCAAATAAGAGAGTGAAACGCCGCTGGATTGAAAAATCGCCATCCGGAGACTTTGCAATGTCGGCTTTATTGCCTGTGCCTGCGAAATGATCAAGTGCCAAAAATAGTTCGAAACATTTCAAATAACATAATTTTTCTATAGAATGCTTACTTTACCTGTATTAAAACAGAACCTAACGCAATACCTCCTAGTGCACCTGCTTTTTGTTCCNCAACAGAACAAGAGCATTTTTTTTTTTTTTTTAGTCTTTTGATTGATGCTGGTTGAAATATTTTTATTTCTTTCGAAAACTTGGTTTTGAATGTAATATGTTTGTTAAATCATTTAAAACTTCGATTTTTTTTCAAAAATATTTTATCTGCGTTCTTTGTCGAATTCGTGTCAATTAGTTGTGATATTCTATTCAGCTCTTCTTTAATATTTTGCACATCGTACTCTGATGCCATTTCTTCGATCAAAATAAAATTATTCTCATCAAAATTTTGATCGGAGAATACTGTTTCTTCTTGACCATGTTGGTCAGTATTACTTTTAATTTCCTCTTCTTAGTTTCTAAGGTTTAAGAAAAAATATTTTGTGGGGCATTTTTCACCTAAAGCTATCGAAGCTAACTGGTGTTTAATACAGTAATTTTTTCGAATTACAAGAATTTAGTTGTACTGATAATTTTACAATAATACAATAACTGATAATTTTACAATATTAGCTGATAATTTCTGGAACTGATATCTTATTAGCTAGCCTGTGTACCTTAAGATAATTTACGATATTTTTAACATCAATAAATCACATAGAAAATTACTGCTATAATTACCTATCACGCAAATTTATCTTTCTTAATAAATAAAATTAGATTTTTCATGTCTGCATTCAAGGAATTTTTTCCATGAAACTCTGTAGCTAAAATATTTTATACTAGGAAATTAAAAACAACAATTAACTATGTAGTGTTCTATTACTAACAAATGCAAAATTCAATTAATCGGAGCAATTTAGAGACTGGATTGGTGAAAGTTAATTAAAATAATTCTACGTTTTTTTCTTATTGAATATTTCGTTTCTATTTTACAATTAAATAAGAACTATTCTTATAAAGTTGCTCCATTATTCCTTTCAAATTATGCGTTAATTTAAAACAAAAAAAAAAAATACAGCGTCAATTGTAATTATTACAGTACTAAGAAAATCATAAAGTTGCCTCAGGATATTTTGTAAATCGATCACAGTTTGGAATATTCAGCAATAAAAAATCTTACGATTAAAAAACAGTGATTTTTATAATTTTTCAAAATAAATATTTTTTTATAATAAATCTTCTCATACAATTCATGTTACAGATGTAAGAACGAACTCATTTTCTCTTACAAAACTAGTTTTAAAATAATTAAATAGTTTTTTAGTTTCTTCAATTTTAAAATAATATACATATATGTATTGAATACCTGACTGTGTCTGTAACAAAACTGAGAAGAGCTTAACATTTCTTTGCATCAATAGCTTAGCTTTTGAATTAAAGCAGAACATTGTTTTTTTCTTCTTTTTTTTAATTATTATTCATTAATAAGTAAGCTAATCTCTAGAAACATTTTTATTCTCCGAATTTAATTTATGAATTAATTATATTATATATCTTTGAAGACCCTAAATAAACTTTATTGTTATGTTTTATATAGTTATTTATAAGCCATGGTAAATGTACTATCGAATACAAAAAAAAAACGTCGATTTAAAACATACAACTGACAACAATAAATCAAAAATCATGACTCTTTTTGTTATTTTGAAGAGCAAGACTAAAAAAAAAAATGTTTCTCTTTTAAGAACCTCGCGGCGGTGAAGCTAAGAATCACCCCGACTCTTAGAAAGAAAGAAAAAAAAAATTGCCAAATAAGAGAGTGAAACGCCGCTGGATTGAAAAATCGCCATCCGGAGACTTTGCAATGTCGGCTTTATTGCCTGTGCCTGCGAAATGATCAAGTGCCAAAAATAGTTCGAAACATTTCAAATAACATAATTTTTCTATAGAATGCTTACTTTACCTGTATTAAAACAGAACCTAACGCAATACCTCCTAGTGCACCTGCTTTTTGTTCCAAATAACGTCGTATGTTTTCACCACAACCTGAAAAAATAAAATAAAAATTTTATTATTATAACATATAAAATTTTATTACTATAACAATAGTTCATGTTGTAAAATTTCTTCAGAATTAAAAAAAAATTCAGTTCAATTGCATTCTCGAACATTACGATTTACTAAAGTGGGTGAAGTCTTCATAAATTTAGAGAAGGAATTTTAAGGTAAAAGAGTAGATAAAAGTGTCATTCCCGTGACCACCTCCATTAATATTTCAGAAGACGTGTCAAAAATGAAATTAAAACTGCACGCATGCTAGGTGCCGAAAAATTACATCTGCTTAAAGTAACAATAGCGATTTTAAAATCTGCCAAACTACTATTAAAGAAGGCGGGATTAAAACAATAATAATTTCTTAAAATATCAATAATTTCTTAAAATATCAATACACAAGAACATACATATATTTAGAAAACTTAACATTAACTTAACATTTCAATATTTTATAATTTGTTTTGTTATACTTACAAGCCTATTTGTCACACTCACAAAAAAAAAATTCCAAACGTTTTCCCTAATAGTCAACTGAAAAAGAGCTTTTTGTACTATTTCAAAAATTCAACGAAATTTAAATATAATTACAGAATAGAACATTTTCTGAAGAAGAAAAAAAATTTCTTCATTCAACTACACTCAGCCAATAACATTCAACAACACAACTAATTTTCTATATTTTAGTGATTAACAAACCAAAGGTAACTTCCTTGCATTATAAAGGATTAATTCGATTCTTGATAACTAGATCAAATTAAACCGGTGGTCAACTTGACACCAATTTTTACCAGGATGATTTCTTGAAATAAAATTAAGTGTACGAGAAATGCACCTATGACGGCGATGGTTTGAAAAAATTGGAATTGTTTTTACGTTAATAGATTTTCCTGGAACAGAAACATACCACCGTATTTTATTGTCAGAATCACCGACAATTTATTGTTGCATAAAATATTGCTACGAGAATAATTATCTACACAAAAAGCTTTTAGTAAGTGACAGCATTTCCTAAGTTATGTTTTTTTATGAAAAATTTCTGCAGCAAAATGTTATTTACTTACACGTAATAGATTGGATTGTCCAAATCATGCAACATACGCTACGATTATAGTTTTTTTTCTTCCGTAAATTTATTATTTAAAATAATCTGATGACATAAGCTGTTAAATAGAGAAGTATGTTGCATAAGTAGCGAATATTTAATGCTTATCAAGAGCAATTAAGTTTTTCTTTTAACCTTATTTGGAGAGCCGAATGTATGACGGCACAAACTCAATAGAAGGTATCATATCTTTTGTTGTAATTCGTATTTTCAGCAAATGGTTTTGAAAACTCAGATTTATATTTTATTTTGCAATTTGTTCGTATACAAATTACTATTCAAATTCATTTAATTTAAAGCTTTTTTAAAAAATTTGAAAAGCGTTTATTGAACTTCAGTCGAAGTTCTAATAGTATAAATTCTAATATTAAAATAAAAAAAATAGTTTACCTTCATAATCTCAATGTAAATATTAGAACTATACTCTTACTCATCTTAACAAAAAGTAAGTTTTTTTAGAGGAAATTAATATCTTTCAGGAAGACAAAAGAAGAAACTGAAAACCAAAGAATACATTTTATTTAAAGTAAAACTACAAAGCTTTGTCTGAATGGATTAAATTGTCTTAAGTAGTTTGTGCTTTTATAAAATATATTTAAATAGATTAATTCTTGTATTGAATTAATTTTACATTAAATACAATTCTGATAAGATTTATTAAAGTTAAACATTATTTTTGATTTCAATTCATTATTAACTAAATTTATATCCATACATTCTTTCAGAGTGATACATTTCAAGATTTTTTTTAGTATTAAAACTACAATCTATTTGAAATAATTTAAATTATAAAAACATGCTATTGTGATTTTCTCATAAAGGAGGAGTTAGTCTAAGCACTGTTATTCTTGCACTGTTACACTTTCATTGCAAGGTTAGTTTTCTTTTCATTTTGATACCTTTCAAATGTTTTTGAGTTTCAAGTGTACTCTTATCCAGAGCCTGACTAAGGCAGGGGCAAACGGGACAGTCACCCAGAGCCCCCACATCTAAGGGGGCCCCCAAACCGAATAGAGAGTTTATTTTACATCTCGTTCTGTAATGAACGTTTCTTTTAAGCAAAATATCAGTACAGTGTAAAATCAATCAGTTTTATTTTAGCTTCTTCATTAATCTATCGTATGAACACAATCTATATTTCGTAAATCCATGGCTTTCCAGGACGGAATTCAACTTAAATTTCACAACCATGATGGACAAATTTGGCCAATCAAAAACCTGCATTTTTATATTTCGCAAAATGTGTTATGCTTACAAAAATACAGGTTTCTGATGGGTTGACAAAGTTAGGTTCTTCATTACTGAAATATTGAAGCAGAGGGTAGCCCCAAAGAAGTTTTTGCCCCGGGCCCCAATCAGGCTAAGTCAGACCCTGCTCTTATCTGTCTTAAATGTATTTAATTTTTTAATATAAATGTATTTTAGAAACTTTCGTGACTGAATAGGTTCGTGATTTCTAGAATAATTTAAAATAAGATGAAAGTTTTACTTATGGCTAACCAAGATATGTAACTATGTCCTTCAAGATATGTGGTGTTGTAACCTGTAAAAACTAGCTCAACCCAAAAGAAAGGAAGTTAATGGGCATCATTGTTTTCCACAAAAAAAAGCAATCTTAATTGGGTACAAAAATGTGAAACGACAAAAAAAAAAAGAAAACGTATTTAATATCATAGATATGCTTCGAACGTTTTGACAAAGAAGATTATTTTGTGAGGTGAATCGTCAAGTCTCCGCCCTTCCTTTCAAAAAAGCAATTGAAACCAGATGTCAAAATTTCCCTTCTTTTAAATAAAGTAAGCGAATCAAATAGAACTAAGGGCTACAGGAAAATAAAATTTTGTTGAAAAAATTGGAAACTTTTACAAAAAACAGCACGTTACGATGACATGAACAGAAAAAACTAATAATTCATTATACGCTAAAAGAATGTGCAACTTGGTACTTTTATTAAAATTAAGTTGTTGTTTTTTTCTCAAATTTCATGAAAAAAAATAATATGCCACAGTAAGAGGAGAAGGAAATTCATTAAGGCAATTTTTTAATTATCTAAGTTTAATACAGTACTACTCAATTTTAATTCGAAAATGGTTTTTTATTTCCAGTGTTCAATTTTTGTAATTTCATTCCTAAGGTTTAAGTTTCATTCGTGAAAATTTAGAAATAATTGTTTTAATAATTTTCAGTCAAATTACAATTCGTACTAAGAGCTGTATAAGAATCTTAAAATCGTCTTATAAATTTGTTTTAATATTGCTTATTGATCCAGATATCTACATGCGAATGCTTCATTTAAGTCCTGAGCAGATTTTTTTTTAAATCTGTCATTAGGATTTTAAAGAACAATCTATTCATATATTTTATACGTTTATCGTAATATATGCCATTATTGTTAGTAAAAATATGAAGTGTTTTTTTTTTTTAATTCTACAATTGTACNTTTTTTTTTTTTTTTTTGTAATTCTACAATTGTACAGTCCTTCTTGAATATACGAAAATTCTTTTGATAACATTACATTTATTTTTTAAACTAATTAAAACATTATTAGATTGCTAAGTAGATATTCCCTTCATATACCTTCTGGATATTATAAGAAAAAGTAACTATACCAAAATCATGATGTAAATTTGCATTTAAATAATTTTATATTATAATGGCATCCTAAAAAATGGTCCTATGGTATTAAAATGTAACTGAGAATAGAGAAAATATCGGCTTCATTCTAAAATTAAGAATGTGAGTTCATAATACAGGTTGCTGTTTAGGCTTGAACAATGAACATTGGAAGAGCACAAGAGAGAATCCAAAATTCGCTGCTGTTAACGTTACTGTTCCATAGAGTTGGGCAAAACGAATCATCTAAGTGATTCGAATCAATAGAATCAGTTCCCTTTGGTGGTTCGAATCAAGTGATTTGAAATTCATTTCGAATCTAGTCCTTTGAGTCACTGATTCGAATAACATGGCTTAAAAGATTGAATTGCGAGTCACGTGATTTAAATCAAATGCTTCAAAAAATTCGAAGAAAAGTTCACTCATCTATCACTATTTTTCTTTTACCAATGTCAATAAAAAAATTATTATTCCTTATTCATGAATTCTTTTAAGTCAATCAATATACTTATTACATCGTTCGTATAATTATATTGTATATGTTGCTAATTGCTATAAAGACTTTTAATTGTGGTAAATTTTAAGACACTACAAAAAAAGAATTTCGGAATTCATCGGATTCTTTCATTGAAAAATCTGATGACCTTAATAATGAATGCGTAAGAATCTCATAGGCTTTAGAAGGAATTTTTAACTGCATATGACATAGCATCACTGCGAAACAAAACTAACTGAAATTTAAGAAACAATTAATCATTACAATTTAAATCTATTTCAATAAAAACAACTTATTCGAATCAGCTGCAATTTGGTGATTCGCAGATAATTTAGATAATAGCAGCCACTCGTGGGTAATTTTCAACTAAAATGTTTTTAAAGGAGCATTCTGTAATTGAGCCTTACCGTGAATAAAAACATTATTTGTCCTGTCACTGCTACAGGATTGTGGTATGTCATCCATGTGATAATCATGCATATCATAACCTCCACAACACTCCAACTGAAAGGAGAAAAACAAATCATGAACATTTCATTTTGGAACTATTGCACTCAAAGCATTGAAATATCTGTCCCTTACAAACAGCGTCCCGCAGTGGACTGATCGTTAAGACACGGTTCCCAGCAGATCACCGAAGTCAAGCATCACTGGCTGCTGTCAGTGTGTGGGTGGGTGACCACTTGGATCAGTCTGCTTAGGGACCGAAGGTGTGCGGTATTGGTCCTCGTTAAACTGTTTTACCGTAAAGTGCTCGACTTCGCGTGCAGGTCGTCGGGCTACCGAAGCAAGGGCGCCATCCCCTCTGCAAAGGATCAAAATTGTGATGGCATGTCTTCGGATCATCCTCAGGGATGTTTCCCAGACCGTCGCCAATAACCCATTGTGCAGCTCTAGTGCAACGTAAATGAACAACAACAACAACTTACAAACAGCAACTTATTTAGAAATGCGTTTTAAGAAATGGCTCAAATTAAGTAATGCATAGACCACATTTTACACTTAACAATTCAGTCAGAAATTTATGATTAAGTTTAAGCAACATTTTACCAAGTGTTTAGTACTATGGGAATCATATAATTATTAAAAACACTTTGAGACGTTGTCATATATATTTATTATAAATAACATCGTGTACCAAATTGGCACAGTCTATTCCTATAACGCTGTGATTTCCAACAGAAGATCCGTAAAACTGATCTCAAGTGGTTCGCGTGATTAGCTTTTAATTATTTCTTTTTTTTCAAAAAGTACGTAATTTGGTTCATTATTTAAAATAAAATGTAACAAATTAAAAAGCTCTGTCTCGGAGTTTATTTGAAATATACAAATTGAAAAAGAAAATAAAAATGAAATAACGAATGTTTTTGCCCTTAAATTATGACAAAAGCTGAAAAAAGCATAGGAGAATGCGATATTAAACGTTAAGGATAATTTTGTCCAACACAGAATACACGAGTGTTCAAAAAATGCTCCTCGAATTGCACTGAAAACAATCAGTGGAAAAGGAAGTCATAGGTTTTTCACTTTCGGGTAAATTAGCTTCAAAACTTGTATTTTATTTATTCTATGTCAAAAAGAATTCCTCATAAAATTGTTTCTCTGCTATGAATAAAATCTGTAATATGAAAATAAGTGTGGAAAAAATTAACTATCCTCTGTTAAGGGAACTTCAACGTTCATTATTCAATTATTTACATTTCTAAATCTCCTTTTTTTCTCCTCTTTAATAAATAAATACAATATTTTAGTCCCTTCAAAATTTTAAATTTTTCCTAAAAATTTTTATAATTCCCAGGCAGACGTAGATCAGATTAATGTAAATACAAATTCATTCGAGAAAGTAAATGAAAATAAAAAAACATCATTAAAAATTTACGGGGTGAACACTGTTGTCTTTGCTGATTTCTGCAACACTTTCTTTCACTTAGACCTGACTTAGAAATATAAAAGAAATTCTTATTCATTTAATTTAAACAAAATCGTCATGGGACACTAATACAGACGTATATCTACACGGACATCTAGAATCGATACCAACTCTTTTAAGCCCTTCCTTCTCGCTCCCGTGAAAATGACGGGGTGAGTTTTCGCTCGCTATTTCTCGTTCCCGTGATATTGACGGGCTGGAGTGCTCAGTAGTAATGCGCCAATAAGAATAAAACTAATTCATTTCTTTTGCCCGGAAAACATTTTATTTCGCATTTTACACACCATATAGCAGTAGCAGGATATTTTTAAGGTAATTGCAAATAGTTAGTTTATTTTAAACTAGATACTAGCACTAATTAGATACGTGTATTTGGCAAAATAGGCACTTTTATGACCGTTTTCTTGAACATTTACCGATCGTTGAGGGGTTAATAATCTCTGATCTATGTTTATATTAGCACTGATTTTGTTGCGGTGAACAGGGACTATACAGGATTATGAGCAGTAAACGTTTAAGCAATTTCGGCTCATTTCAAATTCCTCTAGTACACTTTAATCTCAAAAATTAACTCAAATTTATATCGTATTATTTAATAAAAACAACTAGAAGGCTTAAAAAACCCTTCATTCAACCACCGGATCTCATCATCTGTCTGCAATGGTCACGTTAGTATTTTATGCAGGAAAAGGGACTCAATAAAATCCACGTATTATAAATGTCTTACATGCAACTGTAGCAAATCCACAAATCTGGCTGAATCTGGATTTTCATGAATGCCTCGACTTATTTGTTCCTTGATGGAATCCGTCAAAAATATCTGAAACTGTAAAGAAACAAGTCATATGAAGAATGGTACAGATTTGCACATATTCGTATCAACATTTATATTCTAAACGAAATTATTTGAAATTAATGACAAATCAATTCTGTTTTGTACAAATTTATTGCTACAAGTATAAGAAAATGACGCCAGGTGGCTGAGCGGTAGCGCTTCGCGCTGTCGTGCCACAGATCCCTGGTTTGATCCTCGGGCCGGGCAAGGTTGACTCAGCCTTTCATCCCTTCAGTGGGTCGATAAATGAGTACCAAGCATGCTTGGGAACTAAACACTGGGGGTTTCGCGTTCGGCTGACCACCTAACCAGAACATCTGCTCCTGCACCCCAGAGCCCAAAGGTCAAGAAAACTGAGATGGGCACAGTAGGCCTTGGCCCTCTATGGGCTGTGGCACCGCTGAGTTTAGTTTTAGTATAAGAAAATAACGCACCTAAAGATCTTGGAAGTAAGCGATGTGTATTTAACAATTAATTATTACTGCAGCGTATCCAAAATTACACTCCAGGTTTTTGAAAACTTCCAACGAGAAATCGGTTTTAGGTAATTGCGACATTGTCATGTGACAAGGCATACATATTTCTAGATATGTTCTCAGTTTAAAAATTTTTCTCCAACAGATGCTGCTGAAAGTAATAAACGATTTTTCGAAATCTTTCAGTGAATGACAGTTACATTAATATATTTTTGAAATGCCCATTTGTAGGTCTCAACATTCACGTGCCTCAACGGAATCCTTGCACATCAAAATGCCGAGGGATAAAATGGCAAAAAAAACTACTTACAGTGACAACCATCAAAAAATTTTTGAACTAAAAGCAGTTTCAATTTTTATTTTTTATAATTTTAAAAATACATATCAAAGCTATTCTTTACGAAACACCCTTTATACAGAACTAATTCAAATTTCAGAAAGATTCCTACAGATTTGCTCTTGTTGCTTACTTTTTTACAATTTAAGCTTTCTAATACTCTATGCTTCAAAAACTATGGATCTCCTTTATCTCTTTATCTTATATGACTCAATAGAAAAAACAACTATTTCATAATTGTAATTAAAAAGAGACNTCCTCTAGTACACTTTAATCTCAAAAATTAACTCAAATTTAAATCGTATTATTCAATAAAACAACTAGAAGGCTTAAAAAACCCTTCTTTCAACCACCGGATCCCATCATCTGCCTGCAATGGTCACGTTAGTATTTTATACTTGAAAAAGGGAATCAATAAAATCCACGTATTATAAATGTCTTACATGCAACTGTAGCAAATCCACAAATCTGGCTGAATCTGGATTTTCATGAATGCCTCGATTTATTTGTTCCTTGATGGAATCCGTCAAGAATATCTGAAACTGTAAAGAAACAAGTCATATGAAGAATGGTACAGATTTGCACATATCAGCATTAATATTCTAAACGAAATTATTTGAAATTAATGACAAATCAATTCCCTTTTGTTTATTGCGACAAGCATAAAATAACGCACCTAAAAATCTTGGAAGTAACAATTATTACTGCAGCGTATCCAAAATTAGACTTTGAAAACTTCCAACGAGAAATCGGTTTTAAGTAATTGCGACATTGTCATGTGACACACATATTTCTCAGTTCAAAAACAGATGTTGCTGAAAGTAACAAACGAAATCTTTCAGTGAATGACATTAATATATTTTTGAAATGCCCATTTGTACGTCTCAACATTCACGTGCCTCAACGAAATCCTTGCACATCAAAATGCCGTGGGGAAAAATGGCAAAAAAAATAAATAAATAAACTACTTACAGTGACAACCATCAAAAAATTTTTGAACTAAAAGCAGTTTTATTTTTTATAATTTTAAAAATACATATCAAAGCTATTCTTTACGAAACACCCTTTATACAGAACTAATTCAAATTTCAGAAAGATTCCTACAGATTTGCTCTTGTTGCTTACTTTTTTACAATTTAAGCTTTCTAATACTCTATGCTTCAAAAACTATGGATCTCCTTTATCTCTTTATCTTATATGACTCAATAGAAAAAACAACTATTTCATAATTGTAATTAAAAAGAGACTCACTTTTTCTCCATCAGCATGCTTCCATACAAGACCAGCTGTAGTAAGTTCCAAAATGAGAACGAATACGAGCATTACCATGTACTGTAAAAAAGAAGAATACATAGTTTTTAGAAAAATGATTGCATTCACTGAGCAAACTTATATTTCGCATTATAGCTCAAAATATTTAAAAATTATTTTCCTATTTTAAAAATTCAACTGCTGAGTTATTTTTAATACGAGAAAAAACCAATGAACCGCCTTTTGTTATTTACTCTACACTTAACAATGATCAAAGTATCTGACGGTGAATCTAGTTCACCTGCCGAAAAGGGTAACCGTTGAGAGGACCTTCATGGCATAAGTCATTTAAACTACAAAAAGTGTAGAGAAATCAGGAAATCTTTAAGTAAACCATGAAGTTTCAAATGCTGAAAAGGCAAACAAGTTATAACTTAAGATTAGGCAGCGGGAAGTTATCTTACAATAATTTGTGTGCATAACGATAGTTTGACAACATTTTGATGCTTCATGGTCTATTTTAGAGTTGCCCGAACACAATTTTTTTTTTTAAATTTTTGAAATATCGATGGAGGTGAAAAAGAACTTAAAAATTTCTTCCGCGGTATAGCGTCCCCTTCTAAATAATAACTTGGGAATTCCATCCCAGATCCATAGCATTTCTTTTTTTTTTCTTTTTTTTTTTTTAGTTAGAACACTAGATATGCATATACATCAAGTAAACATGAAAGCTCGTCATCTCGATATTTACGTCTAAATTATGAAAAGATTTTTTTTACTACCATGTAAAACAAAGCACGGAAAATATCGGGGAATGTTGGTCAATAACACCAAAATCAACAAGCAGCCACTTCTATATCTCAAGTGGCGGCCAAAATATTGAATGAACCCATGCATTATAGAAAAAATGATTTGGTACTGATGAGCAGAAACCCAAAACGCACTTCCAGAGTGTTTTGTAATGATCTGCGTTAATGATCAGGAGAAATTGTTTCACAGGTCAGTGGAGGCAAGTTGTGGTGCTCGTGGTTGACTCGCACCATTGGACTCGCAACTTATTGGGATTGCGATTGTTGGTGTCGTGGCAACACACGGCCTGGGTCACGCAGTGAAATTCTTCTGACGCGTTAAGGGTTCAAAAACAAAATATATGACAAATACACGAAATAAGGAATATGCCAATATATTCAAATGAGCCGTGGTGGTTCGGGGGGATAGAGCGTTCTCCTTCATAAGAGGTGAACCAGATTCGAATGCCAGCGATGGTGGGTCGATTCAAATTCCACACCCGGCTTGCACTGGCGTAAAGTATCCTCATTGGTAGACGGATCATGGGTGAGAGTCTCCTTGCCATCAGGCTAAGCGATGGAGGCTTTCGTGATTTTCCTCTCCATGTAACGCAAATACGGGTCAGTTCCGTCAAAAAGTCCTCCACGAAGGTAAATTTCTCCCACTACTTGATCCAGAAGCTCCCCTGTCGTCTGAATGGGGTTCAAAATGACAAAACTACAGAGTTGAACATGCGTAGTCGAAAACCCAACATTCGAGTCTGCTGTTGAACGACGTTTATAAAATTAAATGTATCAATATCTTAACTGTGAGGACTATGAAAGAGTGGAAAAAAATACAATGGATCTCTATCTGTTCAAAATAATACGAGATTAGGTAATAGCTAGAAATTAGAATGGCTACTGGAAGCAGGTATTACAAAAATTGCTAAGGTCTATCTATGTATTCATGTGTATAAAGTGATAATTCAACCCATTGTGTGGTATGAACTCTGATCTTTTAGAGGAATATGAAAAAGGAAGATTTTCAACGGACTGCATGGAGAACAAATGAAGACAACTAGAGTAAATATAAGGCATTATAACAACCGTAGGAATAATAAGAATCTAATGGTAATGTCCAAAAAAATGCCAAAAGATTGTTAGACAGAAAACCATGAGAGTCAAGATCTAGAACTAGATGAAAGGAGAACCCGAAAGTACTTCAAAGAAAAAGGCGACCATAATAGAAGAATGGTCCAAAGTCTTAATGCGACCAGGGCCCTGAAAGGGCCGTAGCAACAGGATGGAGTCCATAAATTATTTAAAAATGGAAATGCCTCTGTTTATGGGCACTTTTGCTGTTACTCTTTCAAACTAAATATTTTCAAAACTGTGAACATTTTTATTTTAATTTGTAACCGGTGCTGAAGAGTAGAGTGAATCGAAAAAACTAAATTTTTAAATTTTGTAACGCTTTAGTGCAGAAAAGTTGATAAAAGGCATAAAAAAATTTTAATCGGTTCCTACTTTCCGTTCCCGCGTCGTACTTAAACTTGATTAAAAAAAAACTTAAAAAATCAAGCCAATTTCAAATTTTTTTGGTTGGATAAATCTTCTGAAATAAACACACTTTAGTTTCTCATACTTCTTTCTCCCGTGAAGAGGGTTGCACATTGATTTCCACCTACACTGCCCCCCAACCAGCCATCCAGTTTTTTGAAGTGGTCTTTACATGCTATTTACAATGATGAACAAATATTTTCAATGGAGTAGGATTCTTTGGCTAACTTCATTGATAAGGTTCCCTTTTTTTTCTGTCTAATTGTTCGGAGAAATGAGGATTAACTGATCTAGATCTTAGTGCTGTGCTCGGATACATGTATGTCTAGCTTCATGTTCACTTATTTTAATCGACGTCCCTGTCACAAGTTTGACACACTTTTACATAGCCAGAGAGAGAGACAAGGAATTTGTCTAACTCGCATGGTACCTGAATGGAGAGGTGATTTAATGTTATTTTAAGTCTTGCAGCATTAGGGGAGCACACAAGAATTTCAGTTCGTGATTTCAAAGTCATCCGAAAATTGATCTTCGATAGTACGAAATACAGTCTTTGCTCTGTCGTACTTTTGTACTGTCGGAGGCACACTTACGCATTGCTTTGAAATCATCAAATGGAAATCCTTACTTGTGTGATATATCCTTTCCTAATGTTGCCCGACTATTATAATAAATCACACATTAGTTACAAAACATTATGCATAGGAGAAATATCAAAATCTCTCCCAGACTGTGAATGTCAAACTTGAGACAGAGGTTTCACATAAGAATATTTTAAGTTAGAGATTCAATATATCCAGGCAAGTCTCGATCAGTTGTGTTTACATTTTTTAGACTCTAGATGGGTTTCTTTTCTCTAGACTTCAGGTGGTTGTTAGATACAAAAAAAGGAACCTTAGGAATGTAGTAAACCAAGAAATCCAAATCATTGGAAAATCTTTGTACGAACATATCGATAAAAAAAAATGGGGTGGTTAGTTGGGTAGAGTGTAGGTGGAACTCAATGCCTTCGCGTGGGGAAACCTAGGTTAGTTCGGTAGCATAACCGTAGATAATGAAGTAACATAACGAGCGAAGAAATAAACGATGAAAATTAAGAAAAATGGGTGAAAAACTTCTGTTTTTTTTTTTCCTAAAACGTTTTGCCAAAGTAAAAAATGAAATTATTGATCAGAATTTAATGTATTCCGGTGCTTTAACCTGTCAAAGAAGCATAATAAACTAAAGCAAGTTTATTTCAGAAATTTTAGCCACCTTAAAAAAATTGAAAAGGGTTTAATTTTTTTTAAGTTTTCATTCCTTTTAAGAACGATGCGCTAACATAAGATATAAGCCGGGCCGTTTTAATTCTTGTTTATACTATGCAACTTTTCCGCACTAAAACATTCGAAATTCAAAAGGACTTTTATTTCAACCCACTCCATTGAACAGCCGGCCTATTTGGGTTTACGACTGCCAGTGTTCAACTCCATAGACCTGTCATTTTAAACCCAATCCAGAAGACAAAGGAACTTCAGGTTGAAGCATTAGGATAAACTATCCTTCGTGGGAGACTTTTTGATAGATTTAGTCCACATTTGCTTTACATGAAAAAGAAAGCTGACAAAGCCTCTTACGGTTAGCAAGAGGATTCCACCACTAAGGATACTTTAGGTCAGCACTGTGGTCAGTATGCGTCGGAAGCAGAATTCGTATCGAGCAGCCATCGCTGGGATTCGAACTTGGGTCACCTCTTTGGAAGGCGAGTGCTTTGTCCCCTGAGCCGCCGTTGCTCTTATTGCTGGTACTTGTTTGAAATCCAATTCACATAACAATAAAGATATTAGTAAGGTAGTAAGCTGAAACTAATTTTTGGCATTATCTATTTGACTTACCTGATTCTTTATTAAAAAAAAAACAATTAGAAATTATTTTTTTAAAACGGATTTATTAAATTTACATGTTTCTTTTTTGTTTTTCTTAGTTTATTTATTTTTTACTTACAAAAAGGAAACAAACAAAAAATGTTTCGATAACAACGACTCATTCAGTCATTTAAATAACTTATTTTGATTTTCACAATAATATTACAAAAATAAAACAATGAAATTGTTCTAGTAAAAATGTGACATTATTTTCAAATTATTTCATTGCAAAAAAATTCTTGATTTATGAGAAGACAAAATAAGCAAAAATGTCAAAAAAGAGACTCACAGTGAAGAGCATGCACGGACTGTTCATGGCTGCTCCACAACAACCAAAGAAACCGATGATGAGGACGATAGCACCCAATGCTATGGCCACGTAACTGGCCTGGTAGAACTGACCTATGTCCAACGCCCTGTGATACTCCCAGAAGTCACTGTCCGATCGAATCCAGATACCGACTGCCAGAATGGCACCACCCATCACCTAAAACAGAATATGTACCCACAGTTGTTTACAATTTCATTTGAAATTCGTAGCAATTTTTTAATTGTTTTTCAAACAATACTTAAACAAAATTAAAATATGTTAGTGGTATTTCAATTTTGAGAGTGCATGGAATGACAAATTTCCTAATTATATAAATAACTGTGATTGACAGAGAAAGTGAATAAGATTTAAGTATTCTTTTCCACTAAAAAAGTTGAATTTAGTTTATCAAAACTTTGAAAATTTAATTATGAGAAAAACCATGAAATCTGATGACAGAATTGTAAAAACATTATTTACATTTAACTACTTTTCAAACGTCGTTTTACGTAAAGAGAGAGGTTGATCCTCTCTATTTCACTCACCTTATTTTACTCTTTTGTCTCCGAAACTAATGAAGCTAAACAAAAACTTTTCGCACACAATAATAAAAAGTGTTTATGATTGATTCCCATGCAAAAAATTATTATTTGTAATTATTTATATCATAATTTAATAAGGATTGTTTAAAAATATATATATAAATGTTAAGGTAAACAGATTTTTACACCATTTTAATCTACCTATTTTTAAACGACATATCAAAAATTAAAAAGTCGATTAGTTCCTGAAAAAAAGAATAAAAAATTTTAAAATACTACTTCATTGTCAATAAATACGTAAATAGTAATATTAATAGTATAAATTGAGCCACTTTTTTTTTTCAAATTTCGTGACCCCCTTTCCCATATTTTGAAAATCAAAAACCCAAAACCGTTGGGGGGAGAAGTGTGTATATTCACAGAAAGTACATTTTTGTGTCTGATTTCTTAACATAAAATAGTGTCTAATCAAACCAATTAGCCAATTTATGGTTAAGCTCCCGAATAATGAAGATTGTAGGTCTAAATCCGATCATTGGTCAAAAGTTATTCCTGGTGTTTGTTTTTATTTTGCTTTATGTATATCACAACCGACATACAAAATCTCGAATATTTCGTAGTTTTATCCCTTTAAAAAATTTGCAAAACTATCATAAGCAAAACTATCTTTTTGGGGTTGACTCTGAAATGCCCCTGTTTCTCCAGACATGAGTAGTTGTGGTTTCTTTCCGATCAAAAATGGAGGTAGAACAAAGTTAATATTAAAATTAAGTCAAATATTTCCAAACATTTGAGATGTTTAAATTTTTTTTTTTTTTTTGCTTATAATTTGGAAAATAACTTTATATACTGGCACTAACATACGTGAGATTGCTAAGAGAAAAGTACTTCTTTACCGTATACTTTTGTAATTGATGTTCAAATGAATTTGAAATTTCTTGAAATAATATTAACTGTAACTGTAATAACATCACTTTAGTGAATAAAAAGAATTGGGATTTTTTTTAAGTGACCAAAAGTGTAGAAATAAATGTTTTTTTCCCCAATGCCCACCTAGATTGACATTCGTCAATTCAGTTGTATTAGGGCAAATTTGTTAGTTACTCCATCGGGGCCCCCTATTAGGTGGGTCAACGTTGCTCCATAGTAGAACAAATGTATGAAAGTTAATTTTGTTTGGTAAATAGTACGATTCCAAAAAGTAACATGCCCACTGAACGTACGTGGTGTCCAAAAAGTATGTTCTCGAGAAATAGGCATTAGGTAAAAAAATCTAAAAAATATACGTGGAAAGTATGGGGAAACTCGACCAGGCCATAACCACCTAGAGTAGGTGTTGATCAGGTCCAACTTCCCTAAACACCTCGAAAGAAAGGATTAAGGGAATTTCAAAATTTTAGACACAAGCCCCTGTGAACGGCAACCTGAGAGTCACCCTACCTCCGGAGGTGGTGTCAATCGATACTTCAAAACATCCGATACGACTGTTTTTTTCGATCTGACTTCTCGAAATATATCTACATTTCAAGCATTTTTTATTTCATTTTCGTTATGAGATAACAAAGCCATCTGTGGAACAAAAATGCAAAATCAAATAGGGAAACATTTCATTCTTTTTTCCTAGAAACAGAATCTGCTGTGGAGAAGGAGTGAAATGAATTTAGTATTATTTGAAATAATTCAAGCGTTTTTTTTTTTTTAAATTTTTGGTCCGATGTCATTTCCCGAGACATTCAACCACTTCCCATACTCTTTGAACACATTCAAACATGACAAGAATTTTTCAAATAACTTTCTCTCAAACCTCTTTAACCAGATAACCAAAAAGGTATTTCTTCAATCCGATTTATTCAGTCCATTCGGATAATGCGAAATTTATTAATAATCATAACTAGAAAGTGAATGGTCAAGAATTTCTTACTTTATATTCTGCAAATGTTAACCGCTGTATTTAAGCTTAATAAAAAAAACCTCATCCTTCAAATCGATCTGCTTTCTTTCAAGTTGTCTGAAACACGAGACAGATTGAAATATCTGTTATACTGTGAGTGACCGAAATGGGTGCTTGTTGAATGCTCACATAGTCGCTTTGGTGAATGTCCGAAATATATATACTAGGTCTACTTCAGTGTCGTTGCCCGATATGCCCTACACTGATGGGTTTTTTTAAAAAAAGATTGAGTGCCACTTCCCGATATACATTTTCCCGGTATGCCCTACATCAATGTTTTTTAAGGTCAAGTGCCACTGCCCAGTATTCATTTATTAACCGGTAATCCGAACACTGATATTTCTCCTCATCTATCCTCAGCATATATTAAAATATCGAATAAATATAATAATATCAAGCAGTAAATTAATATCAAATCGGATATAACAAATATTTCGGACATTCAGCAAAGCGACTATGTGATTGTTGACTGATTCACCGGTGAAAGTCGACATTCCTTTGATTTCGATCATTCACGGTAACATACATATGTTACCGGCAAAGTATAAAACGCCGGCATTGTATAGAATGCCTA